TGTACGCGTCAGACTTTCCTTTCAAAAACCTTTGCAAACTCACCAAACAAGCAGAAACAATAAGAAACCATCAAAACAGGTTCTGGTTATGATGAACCATTGTCTGAGAAACTCACAAATTAACTCGATACCAGAGTAGAGAGTTTTCATAGGTGCCCGCGAATCCCGAGACTTACGGTCTCCATCCCCGATTATGGCTCCTGGTGATGCTTAATTATTTTTTGCAGGATATGGCCTGAAATGCTACCAGTGTATCACTCTCAAGGACTGGGATGACTGTGATAAAACTGAGGTTACCTGTGCTCGTGGCGCAGACCGCTGTGCAAAAGCCCTTGTGACCGGAAAACAAGGTGAAGCATCAGTTTCGGTCTACGCTAAAGGTTGCAGCCTTTCATCTACATGCAATGCTGATAAATCGGAGTTGTGCAAGTCTTCTGATCCCAAAGTCTCTGTCACCGAGTGCGAAATTAACTGCTGCTCTGGCGATTTGTGCAATGGAGCCAAAGTACCAATGGTCAGCGTCTTCATGCTTCTGGCATGCGTTCTTGCAGCTTTCCTTCGTTAAGCATCCAAAGCTGTTAACATTTAAGCGTACAAAAACGTGTAATTCAGTAGAAAATAGCGTTAGCTTACCTATTATGTGCAATTTCAGCCACGTTAATTTTTTGCAAGCAAGGTCTATCCTTCAATGTAACCACGAGTGATATTTCTTTAATAAATCTGCTTAACTAAGACATTGGCTTCCGGTTACTTTGTATTCATTCAAGACCATTTATTGATAAGTGAAACTTTAAAGTCGTAAAAGTTCATTTACGTTGAAACAACACATGAGCTTTTTTGGTTATGTTCATAATATGGAGGAACAGCCTCTCCCATGTAGAGAGTAAAGGAAACAAGCCTCTTTCAGTTAAATATAAAGTACTCTCACTGAAATTTAGGTCAGTAATAACTACTTTGGTGGTTCTCACTCAGGATAATGTTTATAAAATGGAAAAGGAGTATAAAAAGCGATGAACAAATCCTCGAAAATGCAAGGCATATCCTATTAACTAAAACAACTCAAATTCGACATAATTGTTTTGCCCCATAAAAAGGTAATATTGAAAACCAGAAACGTGGTCAAAAATAAAAATTTAAAAAATACTTTTCTCCTCGAGAACCTGTCAAAACATCGGGACTTGAATTATTGAAAAATGTACATCAATCCAGATGTTTCTGACAACATAAATTGAAAAAAATAAAATATAGTGTTTATTTTTTTGTTTCTTATACTCTACCTCAAAGGCGTTGCGAGACTCTGGGCGGCCCTGCACCGTTTACAAGGGTCTTCATGATTGGCCAAACGAAACATTAGGTATACAACACAAACAATGCCCCTAGCCCTAAAAACAAAAGAGGTGCAGATTAAAAGGAACGAATCAAAATAGAAGTTTTAAAGAAGTGCAGGTCATCTGGAGACTCTCTGGAGCGTTGTTAATCTCTAATACAATCTGATATAATGAAATCTGGTCAAAGGTTGTCAATATTACTGATCAAGAACCCGTGGAAGTTTAAAGAATCAACGGCTCTTGTGTGCCAGCTCATGGATGAATTGGATTAGTTTAGAAAAAGTAGTGCCATAAAAAATGAGGAATTGATCTATTGGGAGGATTGAAAGTATTTGGACTGACTTTGAAGAATCCACGACAAGGCAAAATATAGGTCCACAGAGCATACATGTGCTTGTTTACATATACTTGATATAATAAGTTTATAATTGATATTTTCTGAAATGACTCTTTGAAAGCCTTTTGGAAAGCTCAAGTGATACATGTACAGTGCAGTTAGGTACGTATACAAAAATTAAATCACAGGCTGTTAATATCATGAGCCTGCTTATAAATTTTACAATGAAGTATATTATATCGAGTGGCACTGGAACATAGTTATCGTACATGTCAACATGTCTGCACGTAGCTCTCCTCTGAGAGAATAGTGTCAAATACCCTCTACAGTCTGTTGCACAATGAAGCCATTAAATGAGAATTCACCATACTCGCCAGTCCCAAATTGACACCCAGTCAGACGAGTTGGTTACAATATGTATAATACTAGTGATTCAGCAGTGCATTTTGGGTCAAGGTGATTTGCTTGGGGTCCTTGTTCAGTTAACATTCAAGTGTTGCATTATGAAAACGGCTATATTGCAATTATGCAGAAAGTATGTCACACGGTTTTGACATTTTGACATCTTGAGAATACCAAAAATATTTTGCACAATTTTACTTTTAGTAGGACACGGATATCGCCAAACTCTTGTTTATTTCATGCCATGGCAAAAGTAAACAATTTGATTTTAGCTAGCTGGTAAATGGGAATAAAGAGAAAAGTATATCTCGAAATATTATAAGAATCATTTCAAACAGTTTTCAGCATCCCACCCAAAAAGGGCTACTTGAAAAAGCTTGGCTGAAAATAATATACTCTGCCATACAGGGAATGTTTTTATTTACAATATAAATTTTCCCCATATAACTATACCCAGGGGTAGAGGGAAGGGACTTAACAAAGTTTTATACAAGGAGCCTCTGCCCCAAGGTCCAAATCCGTTCCCATTTTGTGTAGTGTTTTCCCCAGAAAAGGTTACCCTGTCAAATGCATGTATCTTACAGCTGGAAACCCCTTTCACATAAATCGAAGGTTGGTTACTATTTTTCGACATGTTAAAAAGAGTACGTAGGGAAAAATATTGCACTGCATTAGGGTGGGTCATGATTAAATTATTCACATCTCACAACAGGCCTTATCACGGTTTCCGACGCCTAATTGACGCGGTCATTGTTTGTGCGGGAATCCGATGGCAAATAACGTTTTCTAACATTGAATTTTACACAATTTGTGAATCGTAACATTAAAATACAGGTACAAGATTGTATTTACCAGGTTTGAAGGACGTAGCTTGGCTAGAAGACGCTCAGTTAATGTTTCTAATTTTCCATACATTTGTCGAAATACAGACGGTTACCAATATATTTCGTTTACGCAGTTGTAGAACTGTAAGTTAAAATCATATTTCACCTATTGCATATTGTAGAGCTCGAAATTTGGAGCGCTACCGCGTAGATATTTTTCGTCGCTTTAAAATTGCCACTGAACTGAAATGAAGAGAGGACATAATTCATGTTATATAGATTAGTTGCTAGCCTGGTTTTTCGACGTTGCTCTGTTACTCGCTTAGTTCGCTAATTGAGAAAACAATATTTGAAAAAGTAAAGCATATACAACATTTCTGGGCGTCCATAAAGTGATAAGCTCACATGGACATTATATCATATTGACCAAGTTGTAAATATTGTTGTTGTTTGTAAATAATGCTCTGTACATTATGTATTTTAGAGATGTATTTCTAAATATGTAAGTTCAGTGTGTTTGTTTGCAGTTTATTAGTTAATATTGTAAGTCAGTGAAGAAGCTGTACTTAAGTGTGTGATAAAAAAGTAGCAAATAAAATATCAAAAAATTGCAGGAATAATGGCTAAGGCAATAAATTAGTAATCTCTGGAAACTTTATATACAATTTAATCATGTATGTTGTACCCCTACCTAACAGAAAAGGATGTTTGATTAACATCGGTTTTACCAAAGCAAGAAACGATGGCGTAACGGTGTTTCAAATTAATTATGTAATTTTATCGACATCAAAATCTAAACTTTTAAAACAAGTAGATGAAGATCAAGCTTCTCCAGTTGCATGGTTTTATCCGCAGTGACAAATTACAAGAGGGAAAAAATCGCGGTGTATCAAACTTTAAATCTCTTTCTACGTTTTTTCGCTCCGTTAGTTATTTAGCACAAGTACAAATGGGGCAAGCATTCAAACATTAGCAACAAGCATGGTAGAATATTTACCAGCACAACCGAGGAACTGAACTCGTGTCTGCCGTGAAACAACTCGAGAGAGTAGTCAGACGGCAGGAGTTAAACCCACGTCCTTTAGATTTCAAGTCCTAATTAATCACTCGGCCATCCTACCCATTACACTGTGCGTGAAGGAAAAAGTTAGAAACCTTGAGTATATACAACGCGACGCGCTGATCTTCTCAAAGTCCGCTACCGAGACGTTCTGCAAAACTTTTTGCTTTAAAAATAAATGAGATTTGGAGATATTTTTAATCTTCGGGGTATTTAGAAAAAGAGAAAGAAAAATAAATCTACGAATATTTTAAAGTTTTGTTCATAGTCCAGCGGCACAGCTCTCGAATTGTGCGATTTTTGAAACAATCATCAAACTTTGTAGGATAATGTGCATCCCCATACTGATCAATTCCTGATATAGTGCCAAGCTCAATTTTCTAATTCCAGCTAGTTAGCAATAATTAGAGTTTTCACTCATTAGACCCCCCGCGAAGTTTTTGTTCATGTTCCTTTTGGAGAATCAATTCACGTTTTTACCTTACCTTTTTTACGTTGTTAATGCACGTATGATTAGAATTGTTATTTTTTCTCCCTTTTTTTTTATTCAGGTAGAGGTAATTTTCCCGCTAAAAATATTAAATGAAGGAAAGCCTTAATTTGCATAAATCTGCATTTTCTCCTGCTGCCCTTTGCCTACATTTCTGCAACACTTTCTCTTGGTTCGGATGGTAGGAGCAGCATCTCATTCTAATTTGTTTCTATGCAATTGGATGCAAATACGTAACGCTCTAGGCATGCTGATAGCCAAGAGCAACAGTACTATCCTTGTCATATATCAGATCTGGTAGGAGTGGCAGATGCAGTTGTGAACGGTTGAAATAATGGGCACGATATGTTCTGCTAACCTGAAAACGGGCGTTTTTACTGCAGAGGCAGTGGATAAAATCGACTACAGCATGACGTCGACAACCGCTATAAGTTTTCACGGCACCCGCGGTATCGCACTGATTCAACACCCTAATGAAGCGTGCCACGGATTCATGTGTGAACAAGCAACCATTCCAACCCGGCCCTGTGCTTTCCGGCGGATCGTGACTACACATCTTCCGTAGAGAGGGCTAGATTAAGTCACGATGGATTACCCCACCAGCAGCAGCTACTAGCTGTAAAGTACTGGGCCATTGTCGTTGTTAAAGAGATGGGGCAAAAGATGTAAATGTGTTACTACCCTACTTTGTGTGTGTGTATGATGGCCAGTGCATTAGCGATTTAACATGGAGGATAATACGCGCGTAGATATGGAATATATATCTTCCAGTGTTCAACTCGATATCTCACGAGTGAGCGCAGCCAAAGGGGTGAGATATAAAGTTGAACATGAGAAGAGATATTCCATATCTACAAGCAACTATATATTATTCTGTTTATTATATAGACATAGACATACTGATAACGACGTTCTTGACGATTTTCCGAAGGTTTCTGACCACTTTCCTAGGATTTCCGAAGATTCTCCAAAATTTATTCGAGGGCCACAAGAACGTTTCCGAACAATTTCCTAAAATGTCCGAAGATTTACCGAAGATTTCCGAAGATAACTGAAGATAGCCGAAAACTTTCGAGGAAGATCCGAAGATGTTTTGATCATACACCAAAACATTTAAGTACAGTTTCAAACATGATATTAGTGAAGTAATTGATAACTTCACTAGTGATGATATGGAAATACGCCACCCGAGTCCCGGATGTGGTGTCCTATGAATTTTATGAGTGGTGTATTTTCCAGTAAAACACTCGTGTGTATGTAATAAATAGGTTTATTGTGA